TGAGGTGTGCCTGTATACTGAACGAATGAATAAATGAGTGGAGGAGTGAAGAGGGGGCTCCTCTGGCCCCAGTCCTTGGTCACTGATGACAATCATCTAGGGACAAGGTGATGGGGTTTTCTGCCTGGGAATCCACTTGCAATTACTGTCAGTGGATGTTTTCATCTACAATATGCAATTACAGGCACCTGAGAAGAAACTGATGTACACGCTAACTGCACACACCATCACATCCAGAAACCACCGTATCTAACATTGAACACAGCTAAGTAAACCGGATGCAAACATACAGAGGTGCAAACATACGGAGACGCTTGTACATAAGAGAACAGCTGCAAAACTGTATGTAAAGCACGAAGAAACTGAGAAACCCACAGATACACCTGCAGACCCACAGAAAGCAGGGCGCGGGCGCGAACCACAGCAGCACCAACACTACACAGCGCGCTCGTGAGCGCGGACATGTGCGCCTCTGCGTCACACAGTTACACTCCCAGCTGCCCACTGCTCCAAGAAAGGGAACTCAGGGAGACGGAAGCGAGGCAGTATGATGGGGGACGGTCACCTGTTAGGTCCCGTGTGCTGGGGGTGGGGGATGGCACGGGGCAGCCAGGGCTGCGGCTGGCTGGGCAGAAGCTGGCCCAGCACAGAAAGCCATAGACAGAGAACTGGGCTCTGCTGGGCAAGCCCAGAGCAGCAAGAGACCCCTCCCGGGGCCGGCCTGCAGGGGGTCTAGCCCCAGAGGAAGCAGCAGACCCTTTCCCCTGGGAAAGGGTCTGCTGACCTTTGCTGACCCTGACTCAGCCGAGTCTGCTCCCAAAGGCTGCCCTCTCCTCAGGACCCTCACATCAGGCCCCTGTCAGGCCTAGACTGGGAATCAGGGCCCTGAGTTCTAAGCCACCAGTGGTTGACAAGTCACTGTACCTCTGGGCCTTGGGCTCCCAAGGTGAAGGTGACTGAAAAGGCCTGCCCACAGGTTTGTCTCAAGCACTGGACAGGACCAATCTGCAGCACACTGCGCTCCCCACAGCCTACAAACCAGCCATGTCTCTCTCACCCACTCCCCATTTCCTAAGCCCCCCCCAAAGGACCACTGCTGCTCACTCTTCCCAAACCTTCACTCCTCCAGCTGCTTCAGAATCTTCAGAGGCCCCCAGCACCCACCCAGTCACCCCAAACTCTGCTCCCCAATGTGAGCAGGCCTGGCAGGAGGAAGAGGTGTGCACAGATTTTCCTGTCGGGACCATTTCAAGGCCGTGCACAGCTCCTTGTATAGGTCACTGGACCCTCAACAGCCCTGGGGTAGGCTCTGGGCTGGGTGCGGGTACCTCACGGGGTAGGAGCGGAGGCGGCTATGTGGACGGTGGTAAGGAAAGCAGGGCTGGAGGCTGGGGGGCCTGAGCGCCAGGCAGGGGGGCTGGGCTACAAGCTTTGGATGCTTCTGCTGGCCTATGGCTCAAAGCCTCAGCTTCACTGAGGGGAAGGAGGCAGTGTCTCCTGTCTCCCAGGACCTGTTCCAAAGCCACCAGGCCCTCCCCCAAGGACGTCCTACAAATGCCACTCCTGTACAAGGTCTGTCCTCTGGGGTTGTGTCCTGGCTGTCCTCTGGACAGTCCACTGGACACATCAGACCTCCCACCTTCCTCTCATCCAGAGTTCATGACCAACGAGGACACACAAACCAGTGGCTTTAAAATGCTATCAGAAACACAGCGCAGCTGCTGCCAGAGCCCCAGGAGACCTGCTTCCCATCTTATATGGCCCCCGGGCCCACAGACAGACAAGCAGGCCCAGAGGTCCTGGCTCAGAACAGGGAAGTGTCACGGCCACCGCCTAAAGGCCCACCTCCATCCCTCACCCCAGCATGAGCATGCCCAACGTCCTTCTACGACTCCCACAAGAGTCCCCAGCCCCTCCAGCGCCTCCACCCCACCTTCTTCTCCCCTCCCCCGCCCTGCTCCTTAAGAAGGCCTCCCTCCTCTCCAGCTTCCCCAGACCCGCACTCAGCACTGGATCAAGTGTCCCGTGCACCTCCCACGGCTGCCCTTCTTCCAAGCCCTGCCCCTTCCCCCTCTTCTGCTCCAGCACCTCCAGACCTCGATCTCCCAAACACTGTGGTCCTCAGTCCTAACAGAGGGGTCAGAGGAGCAAGGGGAAAGGGCGGGCCATCCTTCCACAGAAATTATCAAATGATTATTTGGAAAATAATAACACTTATTCCTATGGGGAGACTTTTCCCATCAAAAGAAGGGGGGGGGGGGGAAACAGTGGGAAACATTCACAAAGTGCAAGACATTATTTTTAGGTCACCACATTGCCGTCACCCCCTCTTTGCCTCCCACATTATAAGAACTGTAACTCAGGGTTGCCCTGGTAAGAACAGCCCAGTTTAATGACCTCAGCCTGCTTCCACCAGCGTCCCCTGGGAACCAAGTCCATGGAGAGCGGGGGCAGCTGCCTTATCCTATCATGCCTGCCCCCACTCCCGGAGGTCCAAGATGTAACCCCAGGCCAGTCTCAGAGGTACCTCCTTCCAGGACTTCTGCCCCCACCTACCCAGCATTCACCCCTTTGCTGGGACTGCCCCACCCCACCTCCCTGCCTCTATGCCTGTCCCTCACCTGTGGCCTCCACATCCCCAGGCTCTGCTAACCCGTCTCCCTTTAGAGGAGAGAGCAGCACCCACATTCCTCGCCCAAGGTCCAAGACTCAGGAGCCCGCCAAGGCCTGGCGACCCCCATGACCCGATCTGAAGGCAAGACATGAAACTGACTGCCAACAACACTTTGAACAGATGTCACATTTTCATTTATAAACACTTTCCAACCCCTTGCTTCATTCAAAAGAGCTTGGAAAGGGTAAGAGTAAGGAGTGTTTCTCCCCCCGACCCCCCGCTTGCCAGATGAGGAAAGTAAAGCCCAGAGGTGACATCCATTGCCTCATAGACAGTAAGACCTAAGGTCTCCTGCACGCTCTGAACACATTCTTCCCTCCCAGCCAACACTGCACTAGGAAATCTGGGATTCCTCAGCTTAACCCTCACCAACGGGGCAGGTGCACGGGTCACCCCACCTCCACCAAGCTCTGCACTTTGTCCCGGGTAGCCCTTGCCTCTTCAGGGGAGACAGTGGTCTTCATCAGGCCTCTCAAAACCACCACCACCCTTCACTACCCCAGAGTACAACTGTCACAACACATACATCGTTAAGTTGTACCAGTGCTGTTTTTAATACCTCCAAGATCTCCTACTGCCCCACCTCAGGTCAGGCCTGTTTCTTGCCCAAAGACTGTACTAGTTTTATAGCTTATCTTGCCCCTGCAATCCATTCATCACCCAGAACTCAAAGCAATTTCCCTAAAATTAAAATGAGGACATGTTACTACTTTGCTCAAAATACTTCCCAATGGGTCCCCAGCACTTTCAGGTTCAGCTACAAATTTCTCGGCAAGACCATTTAGAACCTGGCCTCTGCTTGCTTCTCCTGCCTCCCAGCTCCCCACTGTCCCAACATGTGACTCCCTGACCTTGCAGCATCTTGGCTGGCCTGTGACCAGTCTTGGAACACTCTTGCCCAGCTCTTCTCTGCCCAGCTAGATCAGGGATCACTCTGAGCGGGAAACCTTTTTGGACATGCCAGGCTCAGTTAGGGGCCCTTCTGTTTGACCTGTGTACCCACGCAGCCCGCTACCACATAGATGGTATAATAATTTACCTGTCTCCACAACAAAACTATAAACATCTTAACATGAAGTATTTCTCTGTCCCCAACATCCAGCCCAAGGTCCCATGTGCTGTAAACCATCAACAAAAATTTTAATAAAGAAACACTTACAATACAGAAATTTAAATCCAACACGGATTAGAAGCACAGACTCATGGAACCTTAGGGTTGAAAGGAGACTAATATCCTCTAATCTCTTCATTTTACAGATGAATACAGGGACCCAAAAAGAAGAGTGGAGGCTGGACATCAGCCAGTGTCAAGCTCCTGGGCTCTGACCACACCCAACCCCAGGTCTAGCTGACCAGGACACGCTCCAGGCTCCACCCGCCCAAAGGACGGATTCTCCTCCGCCCTTACAGGGGAAGGGAGCCCCCAGCTCCTACCCCCACCCCCACTGAGGTCTTGACTCCTGTGCCCATTTTCCTGGAATGGAACCCCACCCCCCAACACACACACACACACACACACACGCACGCACTTCCAATTTCTGTGGTGCTTCCCTCTCATTGTTCGCACTCCCAATCTTTATGCCCGCTCATTTAATCATTTATTAAGCACCTACTCTGTGTCACTGTGCGGCAAGCACTGGGGTTCCTGCCCTCCAAAAGCTCAGTCTTTCCGACACAGCTGACACAGCCCCGAACACAGGGCCAGCGCTTGGGCAGAACGCGCCCGGAGGGACCGGGGGTCAGCAACACCCCCCCCCGGCCCCGCTCACCATCCCGTCCCTCCCGCTCTCACGGCCCCCCTCCTGCTCTCTGCCCCGGCCTGCAGCCCCCTCCCACGCACGACCCGGGCCCCTTTCCCCAGGGGCTGTGTGGGGGCGGGGAAAGTTCGGAGCCGCAGCGCCGGGGGCTCAGGGGGCCCCGAGACCCCCGAGGCCGCCGCCAGCCCGAGGCTGGGTGGAGGCAGCGCGCGAGGAGCGGGCCGGGCGCTGGCCCCACAGCACGGTCCGTTCCTCCGCACGCCCCTCCCGCCCGGATTCGGAGGGACTCGGAGGGAGGGGACGGGAATAAATACCTTGACTTTGTGGTTAAGGTTAACGGGAACTGCCACCCCGGGGCGACTTGGGCACTGGGCTCCCCGGCCCCGCCAGTCCCGGGACAGGCGGGGGCGGGCGCCTCCCCCTGATTGGCTAACGGGCCGGCCATCCCCGGGGCCGTCCCGCCGCCTGATTGGCTGCGCCGCTCAGATGACCAGCTTCTCCCTATCGGAGAAGCCCGCGGGGCGGCCCCTTTGTTCTCCCGAGCCAATAGCCCTGGTGGGCGGGCTGACCTCGCCGCCCGCTGGGCCTCGCGGGCCCCCGCGCGGCTTTAACGCTTTGGCCGCTGGCTCGGGACCCTTGTTCAGGGCTCCGAGGGGAGGAGGAGCGGGGGCGAGGCCGGGTGCTGGTGACCGGACGGCGCCGCGGCACCATGTTCTTCCCCTCCGCCGGGCTCTCCCTCCGGCTCTGGCCCCGCGGACGCGCTCTCAGATCGACCCCGTCATGCCGCAGCTCTCCGTCCGACTTAGGGACGAGCCCGCACCGCTCTTAGTGCCGGGGCCCGGGAGCACAGGACGCACGAGCCCCACCCTGACGCGCACACTCGAGTGTGCACGTGACACGGTGGCACCTGGCACTACAGTACGCCAAGTGTTAGGCTGAGAAGCTGTGCTTGCCTCGCGCGACCCGAGAGAAACCGCCATCCGCACCCTGCGCGGCGCTAGGCACGTCGTGGGCGCCCGATAAACGATCCTGGGGTCTCCACGAGAGAGAGAGAGAGAGAGAGAGAGAGAGAGAGACCTCATTAAATGCACCCCCTCGCTTTCTCGTCAGGAAACAGCGGTCTGAAGAGGTCACGTTCCTAGGTGGAGTGTCACTACTGATTTAGAGGCAGGGTTCAGGCGGCCTGGAAATCTTCAGAAAAGAGAATTTTCTCTTCTACCCACACTAATTGGAAGGAATGCTCCTTTATGCCAATAGGATTCCACACACTGCTACCTCAAGCTAGCTAGGTCAACTCCCACTGGCAGTATTCTCTCCGGAGCTGCTTAGAAACTGCCCTTAGGCCTCGAGGTTGATAAAAACAGAAGCTGGCCTCTGTCTCTCTCTCAGACTTCCTACAAACCTACCGTGAGGCTGGTGGACCTCATTCTAACGAATCAGTAGCCACCTACTAAGCATTTGCTGTGGGCCCAGCTATTGTTTGGCCTCAGGACAATAGACACCGGCCGACTGAGATTCTATCGGTCTTGCCACTAACTTCTGTGCAGCTTTTCTGTCTCTGGACTTTGACTTACCTGTAAAAGAGTAATTTCCTAGTTACATACCTACCTTTCCAGACTTTTGCAGGACCCAAATTGGTTCTGTTGTCTATAGAAACATTTGTAAAGTATGAAACCCTACACAGAGGCCAGATAGGACTAGACCATCAACTTTTAAAAGAATCCCATTCATCTCTTTATTTTCTGGAGTACCTTCTGGAGGGGGTTTACCAAAAGCTTGTGGAATTCCCAGTATTCTAGGTCCAGATCTGCCACTGGTTGTGAGTGAGAAAACCCACTTCTCTCTGGGGCATGTTTCCTCCTCTACAGAGTGAAAGTCTTCCTCCAGATTGGCGTTTCATGACCAAGTGTCGGAAAGAATGAAGCACATCTGGGATCCTATTTACATTAAGAGAAAAGAGAGAAAAGACAGAACGGGGGGAGGGGAGAATGAAAGACTTCCATATTTAGAAAAGAGATGTCTGCATTATTAAACGTTGACAAGCTAATTGAGTACTTTTATAATTGTAGAAGAAAAGGGGGGGGACCCTGGCCACCTCAGAACAGCAGCGTAGCTCCTGTCAGCAGAACTGTGGCCCCTCCAACCTGAGCAGTTCCTCCCTTGAGGCTGCTGTCTGCACGTGCCACGCTGAGCAATGACGTGGGAACCACCAGGTCCTCTGAGGGACCCAGGAAGGACCCATGGACAAGTTCACTCTGTCCCAGCTTGACCAGCACCCTCAAGGCCACTTCTGTGGCTTTCCCTGAACTTCGGACCTCTCCTCAACCATCTCTACCCCAAAGCAGGTGCAGCACAGCATTAGTGGACACCCAGTGCCGGCCTTCCCCACCCCCAAGCATTTCCTTCAAAGGTGCTCTTTCAAAGTCAGGAGCCCTGGTCGGATTCCCTCGCCCTCATCCTTTTCCCCAACCCCCAAGTACAAACCTGAGGTGCCTGAGGACCTGGTTCCTGCTCCCTGCCCATCATCCCTAGACGACCTAATTTCCTGCCCCCCCAAAAAGCACTGCTCCCCTTCCCTTGAAGCCCTGGGGTCCCTTAAAGAGACATACTGAAGGGTGGCATTCTTGAGTCAATGCTTCTAGTCTCTGAAAGATAATTTGCCATTAACTATACAGGTTTTTAAGGGGCTCCATGAAGGCATGAAGTGGCTTCAACCAGTACGAGACTTGGAAGCTATCTGCTTCCATCCTGCACACTTGGAGTCCCACTCATCGCCATCCATCTCCCTCTGCTCACTATGTGTGTACACATATACGTCCTCCCCAGACTTGGGCCTCTTAGAGGTAAGGACAAGGTCTTACCTTGGTAAAACCCCCGGTTGCCACCACAACCTCAAGCATGGTAGGCACTGGATAACCATCTTCACCAAAGCAGCAGCATACGCCATTCACCCAACAAATATGTGGCAGTAGTCAAGAGCACATGCTCCAGGAGTCAGAGACCTGGGTTTAAATCGCCTCTGGTGACTGCCACTTATGTGACCTTGAGCAAATGGTTTCATCTGTAAAAGAAGAGTACCTACCACCCGGGGATTACGTTGAGATCATTTAGGTAAACTTCTTTGCGAGGTGCCACTCCCATTAACAAATTGTGGTGGTTATTATGCACGGTGTGCATGGTGCTGGATCTATGCAGAAATTACTCAAACTGGCAGGAAAAGGGCCTACTGTCACCTGTCAAGAATAGGCACTCAAATGTGTATGAAACGGCCAGTACAGGGAAGCATCAGGGGGCCAGCCAGGAAGGCATTGCAGAACATTCAAATCAGACCTTGTCCTCCTAATTACTGGCCCCTGACAGGTCTCACTTGACCCCACAGAAAGCTAAGTCCCTGCAGAACTAGCCCCACCTGCTGGGTGTGCCTGGCCTCCCCTGGGGAAGAACTGGGAGCAAGGTGCAAAGGAGCTCAAGTGGGGGCACTTGCCCTGTTACCAACACCCCTCCTGCCCCGAGGCCCCCTGCCTCGCCCCCTCGCCCCCTCCCCCCGCCGTCCCCCAGCCCAGAGCAGAGCATGCTGCTCCTCTTTCAAACTACACAGCTCACCGGGAGAAAGGAACACTCGGCCACCAGCTCTAAAACCAAATCTTTATTCTCTAGTTTGAAAAGGAGGGTAAGTGGTTGTTCTGTTTCATTCCAGAGAATAGAACAAGGCCCAATAGGTAGAAATCACAGGAAAGCAGATTCCATTCATCATAAGGAAGAATTTCTAACAATTAGAATTATCCTACAATAGAACCAGGGCCTCAGGAGGTGGGGAGACTCCCTGTCACCTAAGTGTTCAAGCAGAGGCTGGGCATCCATAACCTAGAAATGTAGAAGAGGAAACTCGCCCCTTTCTGCCTGTCAGCCGACCCTCCATGATCAGTGGGGCAGTCCTTTCCACCATGCTGAGTTCTGGAATGAGTGGAGGGTTGGGGTGTTCAGACAAAAGCCTGGACACGGGGCTGCTGACAGCCAGGGGATGCTCTAAGCGCTGGGAGGGTGGTGCATTGATCTCGGGGAGGGGGAGTGGGGCTGAGCGCTGACAGTAGATGGGCCTGAGTCCCGGCGCCTACGCAGGGGCAGGAGGAAGGGGACGGGGTAGGACAGGTTAGAGCAGCGCGGCCTCACCTCCCGGTGCTGGAAAAGGCCCAGGCGCGCGCTAACAAGGCCAGCAGGTTCTCCCAGGTGTATCCAGCTGGTCCACTTTTCCTCCCAAGTGCTCATTTACTAAGGACTGTACCACACCTACTTCCAAAAACTGAGCTGAAGAAACTCATAATAAAAGACAGGGACATTAAGGCGTTAACACCAGAGGGGAAGGGTCTTCCTGGCCCCTGGTGGCCCCTCCAGCAGGAGGGCTCTAAGGGGTAGGTGGAGCTGCTATTGCTACTTTTCCGGGGCCCAGGGCAGTCGGGGCAGAACCTTAGCAAACACCAGCTGGAGGCCAGAGTCCCATGCTCTGCGAGTGGTTTCCCTGGCGCCCGGGGCCGGACCTCCCTCCCTAACAGGGCCCAGCTCCCCGGCCGCTCTCCCATCCCTTGCCTACACCAGCAGCAACACGGGCCCCCCACAGCCTAGGCCCACAGCAACACTCTCGTGTAAATGACGCCTAGCCCTGCCCCCTCGGCCTCCGCAGCCCCTGCCCGCTCAGACGTCATGCTTCTTCTGATGGGCCAGGAGCTTCTCCTCGTCGTCAAAGGTCTGGCCACAGATGGCGCAGCAGAAGGCGCCGTCCCGGATGTGGCTCTTCCGGTGGGTGATGAGATTGGACTTCTGGCTGAAGCTCCGGTCGCAGTCGGGGCAGGCATAGGGGCGCTCGCCCGTGTGGATGCGCCGATGGGACACCAGGTTGGACTTCTGGCTGAAGGCTTTGCCGCAGTCTGGGCAGACGTAGGGCTTCTCGCCGGTGTGGATGCGCCGATGGGCCGCCAGGTAGGGCTTGTGGCGGAAAGCCTTGCCGCAGTCCGGGCAGACGAAGGGCCGCTCGGGGGCGTGGTCGCGCCGGTGGGCCGCCAGGTGGCTGCCCTGGGAGAAGCGGCGCCCACACTCCTCGCAGGCAAAGGGCCGCTCGCCCGAGTGCACCCGGGAGTGCGCCACCAGGTGGGTCTTCTTGCCGAAGTTCTTCCCGCACTCGGCGCAGGTGAAGGGCCGCTCCCCCGTGTGCTGCCGCTGGTGGGCCCGCAGGAAGCGCTCCAGCCGGAAGCTCCGGCCACAGTCCTCGCAGCTGAAGAGGGAGGGGGGCGCGGCCGCCGGCTCGGGCGGGGGCGCTCCCGGGGCCTCCAGCGGAGGCTCGGGCGCCCGCTCCCGGGCAGGTTTCAGCGGGGCCTCGGCGCGGGGCTCGGACGAGGCCTCCAGGGAGCCGGCCGGAAGCTGGGGGCTCCCCGAGCCGGGGACGCCCTGTGCAGACCCTTCGGACCGCTTGTGGATCTTGCTGTGGGACAGCAGGTTGGGTTTGTGGCGGAAGCGGCGCCCGCACTCCGTGCATGGGTAGGGCTTCTCGCCGGTGTGGATGCGCCGGTGTGAGGTCAGGTAGGGCTTATTGGTGAAGCGCTTCCCGCATTCGGGGCACTGGTGGGGCCGCTCGCCCGTGTGCACACGGCGGTGGGCGATCAAGTTGGGCTTGTGCCGAAAGCGCTTGCCGCAGCAGGCACACTGGAACGGGCGGTCGACCGCGTCTCCACCAGGCCGGGGGGCGGTCACCGCCGGGCGGCCCCTAGGCCGAGGCCCGAGAGCCTTGGCTGCTGCCTCCTCCAGGGCCTCGGCTACGTGAACCCGCTTGTGAGCGACTAGCTGGTCCCACTGGGCAAAGCTCCGGCCACAGTTGCCACATATAAAGGGCCGGGCCTCCGGGGCCGGGGGGTGGCACCTCCGCACATGAGCTCGAAGCTGCTTTCGTCGCCAGAAGCGTCTCTCACATTCAGGACAGGCGATGGGCCGCTTTGCAGCCGAGTGGGCCCGTAGATGCAGAACCAGGGGAACCCAGCCTCGGAAGGTCTGCCTGCAGAGGTGGCAGGCAAAGCCCAGATCTGGGGTGGCAGCGGCATGGACCTGGCAGTGCAGCGCCAAGAAGGGGGCGTGTCGGAAGCGACGGCCGCATTCAGGACAGGGCAGGGGCAGCCGGGCCTGGCAGTGCCGGGTGTGAAGCCACAGGGCCACCCAGCCCGGGAAATGCCTTCGACAGTGGGCACAGCGATGGGCCCTACTGGGGGCTTGGCTGCCCGACTGGGCCACGGAAGTGCCTTGTAACCTCAGCCCTTGGGGCTCCTTCTCCAGGGTCTGGGGCAACTTCTGGGAGGGCCCAGAGACCTTGGGCTGGGCCGGGCCCATGGCCAGGGGGCCCTTGCAGCGACGTTCCAGCATGGGTTCCTCCTCTGCTGAGGGTGGAAAAGCAGTGTCACTTCTGGAGATCAATTCATCCTGCCCCAGTTCCTCCCTGGCCGACCCCTCCTCTCCAGGCCTGAGAGGAGCTCGTCCCTCTGAACTCCTAGAGCCCTCGAATCTGGCCTATTCTTCTATTTCCTTGTCTGTCCTACATCATTTCAATCTTGCGCTTCTAGATACCATTTCAAGTGTATTCAAGTATTTACTCAGTATTTACTAACCCTGGAAACTACCAGAAGGGAGGAACTCTGACACTTCTTGGAATCCCCCCTCATGCTAGTCACCCCGTGTCTGGCATGGAGTAAACACTCCAGCGTTGGCTGCACAAACATTCCTGCCTTCAGACTCACCAGAGAACGTGGTCACCTCTCCCTATGGTGCTTTAGGCTTTTTACAGGCGCTTCCCTGCTGCCCCCTGCTCGTTTCTATTATTTCCTGCCGCTACATTTGAGCTTCACATCAACAGTGAGGTGGGACAAGCAGACATGAAGCTCCCAGCTTGACAGATGAAGCAACTCTGAGGCATAAAAAGGAGAGGGGGGGTTTGCCCGAGGGGACACAATAAACCAAGAGCAGAACCAAGACCGGGGGACAGGTCTTCTAAACTCCCAGGCCAGTGTTCTTGCTTCTAAAACGCCTGGGTTTGTGAAGTTCCCACAGAAAGAAACTCCTACAGCCTTTACCCTATTTATCCTCTCCTGGGTTCTAATCACATCACAGGGGAGCGTTTTTGGCCTCCCCAACCTCAGTCGCTCAGGGTAGAAGCCTGGAGAGCAGGAGACAGCGCTTCTGGGGAACAGGAGGGGAGTGCTAGATGCTACTCGCAGCGCTCTGTAAGGCCAGGCCACTGCCTGTCCAGACTGCCCACACTCTGCCTGCCTGCCCTCCTCTACCCACACACACGATTAGCACATCGCAGGAAGGAGAGCTCTCCTGAATCCAAGGAACACCCACAGCCGGCTACCCTCCCCAGGGGTGGTCGGAATTACTACCGGGGCAAGAGAAGGGGAGGAAAGACAAGACTGTAACCCCTGTCCTCTGCCAGGTCATGCCCCAACCCCACCAGGAACTGCCCCACATTGCACTCCTCACTCCTCCACGGTGCCGGGGAGCCCAGATTCCTCAAGGACAGCTTCCTGCAGCCACTGAGGGGTGGGTGGTGGTTAGCCTCCTAATAGACCTCCACTGCCGGCTTGCAAGCTCCAGACACATCCTCCTAAATTCCCTAGAGGCAAACTCCTCTCGAAGAGCTCAGACATGACTCATTCCCCATGGCCAGACTGAGCACAGGGAAGACGCTGGTATGGGAAGGTCATCCTTCCCCCCTACAGGTGACTGCCTTCCTCCAGGATGAGGAGATCTGAGCACTGGGGCTGTGGAACGGTTTGGGAACCCAACAAAGAAGGCCAGACTCTACCCTGGAGACCGTGGAGCTGGAGATGAGGCTTTTTCCAGCTCCTCCCGGGGATGTTCCTGGGGATACTTCTGTGGCTGTAGCGCCTGCTTCGGCCCACACTCTGGTAGCCCCCAGATGTCAGAGAAAACTGCAGCAGTAAAGACACCCCTACCCCCATGGCAGAGCTCAGACCTCTGAGTGCAGAGAGGCCAGCCTTACCTGCGGGGAGGGGAGAGAAAACACGCATGAGGCTCTGAGCTCCTCCAGGGCAGTCATCTTTGTGTCCTCGCCAGCCACAACCCCCTCCCCCCACCCAAGCCCCACACCCCGAGCGGCCGAGGAACCTTAACGGATACTGGATTAATAGATGAATGTGCCCCCTTCACCAAGGAAGTACTCGACAGCGTCTGGGGGTCATTTCCTCCACGGGTAAGGTCACAGCATGAATTCTCCATGCTGATGGCCAAAGGCCGGGCCGATGGCAGAAACTCTGGAATCCCTGCTGGCTCCCCTTCCCCCACCCTCCTCCCAAACAGGAATTCCAGGCTCGGTTCCCAAGGGGCTGCGTAGGGCGAGCTAGTGTGGCCAGGTCTCGGTCACAATCCCCTTGCACCTCTGGATGGCAAAAGGTCGTGGAGATTCCCACACCCCCCCCTTTTGTTTTCGCGAGTGTCCCCCGTCCACGTCGCGGACACACGGCTCCGCGCACCCCGAGTGGGCCCTTTCGGGTGCCCACGCAGAGCGCACCTCGCGGAGCCTGTGCGCAGGTGCGCGGGCTCGCCCCCCCCATTCAGTCCAGCACTGTCCCCCCCACACAGCGCACACACAGTCACGCGCCCCCGGCAGGTAGGGCCGCCCGCCTCGGGCCCGCGTGGAACCCCGCGCCCTGCCCGGGACGAACCTCTCCGGCGGGGTGCGCGGAGGCGCGTCGCGCGTCCATGAGGCCGGAACGCCGGCGCCGGCGGCCGCGCTCCTTACCCCGCGCGGCGACAGCGGCAGGTTCGAGTTCACAACTGCCAGGCCCGGGCCCAGCCCCCCCGCCGGTTCCCAGCGCCACGTGACTACAGGAGCTGCCGAGGGTCAGTCGCGGGCTGGGGCCGGCGGCCGCGGCCGGAGGGCGGGGCGGCCGGGGGCGGGCGGCCGGGGCCCGTCCCCTCCGCGCCCCCCTCCCAGCGCCCCCTCGCGGGCTGGGCCGGGGGCGGCAGCCCGGAGCTCGGCTCCGTAGCCATGGCGACCGGAGCCCGGATTTTCCGGGACAGGCCCGGCTCAAGTTTCCCGACCCTTTGTCCCTACGGAGGACACGCGTCCCTGCGCGACCGCGTGGCCGGACCGCGGTCCCTCGGCTAGACCCGGCCTCGGCTGGCTTCCTCCGAGAGGGCGCTCGCCGCCCCCGGGCCACCCCTTCACTGCTTCGGCCGCCGCCGGCCACCTCGACCTCTGGCCGCGCTGCAGCCCCGAAGTGCCCCTGGCTGGGGGCGGCGCGGCTGACCCGAAAGTCTGGCTTCTGGTTTGTTCACAGTGGAGAAAGGAAAGGCCCGACCGCGTGAACTTTAAAGAAGGAGAATACCACCTATTCCAGAAATTACCACGAGCAGGCGTTCCCGGCTTCCCGTGGCCGAGGGCGCGGGGCCTGGCCCAGTGGTCGCTCTGGCCCCGGGCATTTCCCTTGGAACCGCGCAGCAGCCGGTCGGCGAGCCGGGGAGGCAGGCGCGAGCCTGCGCCCGTGACTCACCGCCGAGCAGGTGGCCGTGGCTTTACGAACCAAACACTTCCTGGGTTTTCCAGGCTAGTACAGGGTCATGTACTTTTACGCTTTTCAACAAAGTCGATGTTAATTGCGCAATCATTTTTAAAACACTTAAATCTGTTGCATCAGTTCTATCGGAAACAGAATATATAAAAATCTCTCATACTTTTAGCTCTTGGAGTCAATTACATTTCAAATTTTGGTATGTCTCCTCCGGTGTTTTTTCCTATACTTAACCTATGCACGTTTGACGTAATAGGGATAATGCGTTGCAAAAATGTATTCTGCCCTTTTCACTAACAATATTGTGAGTTTTCCCCCATTTTATTAGATACTCTCTTATGGCGTGATTCTTAATGGCAGCATAAATGTACAAGTAAACTTTCTTGGTTTTCTATATCATTAGAGATTCATCTTTTATCACACATGGCTGATTTTTAAAATTCAAGGAGTGGGGAACTGACGGATCAAAGGCAAAGTATATTTTTAAAATGCTTTCTAAAATGTCTTCCAGGAACATCTATTAGCTTTCCCTTGAGAAATGCCCATTTTTCCATATCCTTGAAGACGCTGGCTATTTTTTCAAATTTAAAGTCATTATTTCTCATTGTTTTGAATTTCATTTCCTAGATTACTAGTTAGCTGGCTTGTTTTTTCACATATTTATTGCCTGTTTGTATTTTCTTTTTTGCGAATTTGCTTATGTCCCTTTGCTCACTTTATTTGTCCATTTTTTAAAGTTGGGAAATTGGTTTTATTTCACATTGTTTGGGGGTTCATATCTTATAAAGTAAAAGGCTTTTACAGTTTCTGCCTTTGGTGCACATAAAGAGCAGCCACCGCACCCCAAATTAAATTTTATGTGTGTATTTTTATCACAGAAAATAAGTTTTAATATCTAATAGTGTAAGTACTCCCCCTACACACAGATTCCTTTTTTCCCCCAAAAAATATTTCTTGGCTACAATCACTCATTTATTCTTCCAAATAAACTTTAGAATTTGTCAAATATTTAAAAATTTTTCTTGTCAATATTTTAAAATCCATTTGAAGAGATTTAAGATTCATGTTCCCCCCCCCCATTTGTTCAGGGCTTATTTTATCTCTCACAGTCAAGGTTTCTATTTATAGGTTCGATGTATAAGTTTATACTTTTTATGTAATAAAAATTCACACACATGAAAAGAAAAACTTGTCAGAGCATGAGTTTTGGAGTTCAGAAAATATGTTCATAGCTTAAAGCATACTGTACAATGTATGTTAAGTTTGATGATTACAGAAGAATGGATTTGTCTATCAGTGCATTCAGATGATACTCTAGTTTGTTTGTTTGTTTGTTTGTTTAAGTAGCTTCCACCCAGCATGGAGCCCAGCCAGGGGGCCTGAACTCAGGACCCTGAGATCAAGACCTGAGCTGAGATCAAGAGTCACACACTTAACCAGCTGAGCCACACAGGTGCCCCTAAGATATTCTAGTTTTTACCTAAGTACTTATTAAGGATAGTTAATATGTAGGGAGTCCTTATGTTGTGTCAGACATGGTGATAAACTCCTCACATACACATTTCAATTAATCCTCTCAACAACCCAGAAACCATACTCTTCTAGTCTTCATTCCACAAATGAAACAACTGAGTCTCAGAGAGGTGGAGGAATTTGCCCAGGGCCACACAGCTAGACAGGGGTTGACAGGAAACCAGCCCTACTCCTCACCCCTAAAATTTTATGTGTGGGAAAAGCACGAAGTGTTGGGCCCAGTACAGAATAATTGTGAGTTACCTATCAGTTCATGAGTAAATGTGGCACATCCAACACTTACTTCCCGCAAGCACCCTCAAAAGGAAATTCCTTCATGGACCCCCAGAGTATCTTCACCTCTGGGTAACCAGTCTCTCTTAGCCAAAAGGCCCTTCACTTAGGTCCATAAACTATTCCCTCACTCCCTGGCCCCCACTAGAAGAAGTGTCTTCCCACCCAGTCAGGAGTTAGCCATCCGCTGTACCTGCCTCTTTTGGCATAGCCAGAGGAAACGGCGGGGCCTTCACTCTGCAGAAGGGTAAGGAACACAGGAGTTGTGAGGGATTCCCAAGCCTTCTGCCAGCCAGGAATTCCAGGCCTTGGTATTTGGGACTCTGCCCCTCAATATGCCTTAGAGGAGGATGTAGGGGGGGATGGTACAGCAACCAGCCAAATGGCCTAACCCAATGGAGACTGTCTCAGCTCTGACATGCTTGCCAGAGAATGATAGGGCGGTACAGGGTAGAGGACCCAACAGACAGCAAAAATTGACAGGAGCTCTGGGAGGACCCTCTTTCCCTCTAACAGAGCCTGGCCCCCACTACTGGATTAGATGGCAAAGGAGGCGGGCATGCCAGGGGATGAGGGGAGCAATGTCTCCAGAATCCTCTACGAAGAGGACCGAGTATAGCTTAGAGGCAGCCCCGTAACTGCAAGAGGGCAAACTGCATCCGCCCCTCGCAGATACACTGCCCCAGCCCTCCCCACGGGACTCGCTGCACATCCAACAGACACTGAGTCAGGGCCCGCCCTCGGCCATCGGCCCACGTGCTGGGCCTCCTCATGAGCCACACAGAAATGGTCCGGCTGTTTCCCCACAACGGTAAAGGATATCGAGAGGACTTCTCAGCCCAGTTTAGCAATGGAAATCTTTCTTGGGGTAGTACTTAATATGAAATAAAACCAAGTACTTGGTGGGTTGTTTGTTTGTTTGTTTAAGATTTTGTTTATTTATTGGACAGAGAGAGCACAAGCAGCAGGAGTGAGAGAGGGAGAAACAGACTCCCGCTGAGCAGGGAGCCCAACATGGGGCTCGATCCCAGGACCCTGGAATCATGACCTGAGCCGAAGGCAGACGCTCAACCAACTGAGCCACCCAGGCGCCCCCAAACCAAGTAGTTGTTGATAAGCTTCGAATGGATGACCGTTGAAAAGCTGGAGGAGAGTAGGAAGCCAGAGAGAAGAGAGAACTTGACTCTATTGCAGCTAACAATTTTTAAGTCCAGCTTCAGACAGCATCCAGAAGGTGGATGGGAAACCTCACAGAGCTCCTTCTGGGAGCTCGTGGACAGTGTGGGAGGAGGCAGAAAGGTCCCACGTTGAGCTGGGTGGAGGCCACGCCTGCTGACCCCTTGCAGGTGCTCAGGCAGCCCTCCATGGGGCGGGGGAAGCAGCCACCGCCCGCCGCCCCCCTCACCGCTGAGGAAGGCCCTGAGCGTCCCAGGCCAGCACCTCCGGCAAAGGGATCTTGCTAGGTGGCATGGAAACTCCCCAGGAAAAGATCACAGCGTTCCTCCTTATGCATGGCAAGGACCCCCCTGTAAGAGCAGGGCCAGAGGGAATG